AAAAGACCTGTCATATAGAACACATATTGGTTTTTTTTTTCGTTTAGTATAATTTATTGCTTTAAATAAAAAATGCAGATTTTTCCACAATAAAGAAATCGTAGCCTCAAAGAATGCTAATGTCTTGTCAGCTTGAAAGACTCATATGATGGAATTTGCCCCACAGAAATCACAGCCATTCCTTATACTGTATACTGTAGCATGCTGTGATCCCTGGCAGCCTGGTGACTCTGCGACATGCCTTCTGCCTCCTACTTGGAATAATTACTTGGAATAAGAGATAACACACAAGTATGTGACACATTGATGTTTGCTGCTGCAATTCGCATATTCACTGGCCAATAAAACAGAACTTCCTAGGAGCTGGTATCTGTTGGTAGAAGAGTCCAACTCTAACGAAAACATTTTCTTTAGTGTGGAAAGGGCCTGCTTATAACCTGTCAGTTTATGTTTGCTGTCTTTGTCATGGTTGGGGAGTTTTCCTTTCTTTTTCCTGTCTAAGTGATGTATATTAGACATATTATGGTGTAAGGTGAACATTCCCTAACATAGACACAGCAATAAGCAGGCCCAGACTGGGACAAAAAATAGGCCGGACATTTTGGACTGAGCAGCCCAAAGCCTGGGGACCCTTTTCTTGGAGCCAAGTGTGGTTTAAACGCAAGGGCCCGGTCACAAGAGTGACCATTGTGACCCTGCTAGTTCCGCCACTAGTGTCAGTAGGTTTTTTTTTAATTTTTTACATGTTTTATTATTTAAAATTTTTTTATAGGTGTGACGATTGTGTGCAATAGAGACATGGACGCTGTACGTGACAGCCCATCTTGTTAGGCCTCAGCCATTTTGTCTCTCCCCTCCTCCCTCTTGAAATGCAATTTGTAGCTGTAAGTTGAACGGACTTCAAAAGGGCCTCTTATCTTAAATATAAAACAGATAGATGAAGCTCCAGGTTGTAAACCGCTAATTAGTCTGGTGCAGGAGTTCTGCTTTGAAAACCACTTTCCTCTGCCCGATCGTAAAACAATAACTCAGTCAGTCATGACCTGTTAGGCCATTTTGGCTAGAGCGTGCCATAAAATGTCCATTCCACATGTAACAATTTCACAAACAATTCATAAAGTTCAGCAGGAACTGGGCACATTAATATTAGGTATATATTTAGATAGATCATTTTAATGTCAATCAAACAAGGCTATACATGACTATATTAGCACCTAGGAGAGAGAAGAAAGTGGTCTCTTCCCTCCTGGGTGACAAGGGTACGCTGTGTTTGGTATCCCTGGGTTTGAAATATAATTCTGAATATTAATCTGCCAGTTGCTATAATACCACCTGTACATACTGGAAGTTATTAATATTAGTATGAAACTGCAGTTGGGACTTGGTCATAACCTTGGTTACCGCCTAGCACCCATCCCCTTTAATATCATAAAAACAAAGACTGACAGGTCTGGAGAAGAGAGCTCTCGTTTAACAGCAATCAGGAAACATCTAACGGACTTGAGAGCCAAGGCGATCTTTTTGCTCGGACAGTTGGACTCTGCTAAAATCAAGGACATTGCAAGTATTCTATCTTCTGAACTCCTTTCTTTTATTTCTCTGTTGTTTTATTTTTCTCTTTATATCTTTGTAACATCTTTTTCTGTAAATATTTTAATTGCACCATTTTGACTTTTTTAGTAATAAATCCTATTTTGAAAAGTATTGAAACTGTCTCTAAAGCTTTCAATGCAAACTAAAGAATCCCTGTCTCTTGAAAAGTGCTACTGTATGTAATAACTCTCTGAATATATCTGTCTGTGGTGACAGTGTGTTACAGACGCTTATGCTAATATCATAGTGTTACTGCTAGGATTTGTGAGTTTCCTCCTTCTCTGTAAAAAGGTGGTGGTGGCAGTGTGTGAAAGGGTTAATTGCGTAATTAACCTGACCCAGTAACAATCACTCTCAGGCTGCTGGCACATAGATTGTAGTCCCATGAGCTGGAAAATCTTTGTGCAGGGCGCAGCTGAGAGTGGCATTGTTACACAAGTGACAGCGTGGAGCGAGATTGGCTGGTTCTCGGTCACGAGTTGGTGAGAAGGGCAGGGGTCGGATGCCACGTTCCATCACAATAGAAAAGAAAGAGAGAAGAAAGGAAGGAGGAGAGAAGAAAGGGAAGGAAGAAGTGAAAGAGGGGGAGGGAGGGAGGGAAGGAAGAAGGAAGGAAGGAAGGAAGGAAGGAAGGAAGGAAGGAAGGAAGGAAGGAAGGAAGGGAAGGAAGGAGGGAGGGAAGGAAGGAAGGAGGAAAAGAAGGAAGGAAGGAAGGAGGGAAAGATAGAAGGAGGGAAAGAAGGAAGGAGGGAAAAAAAGGAAGAAGCAAAAGAAGAAAGGAGGGAAAGAAAGAAGGAGGAAAGGAAATAAGGAAAGAGGGAAAAAAGGAAGGAGGGAAAGAAGGAATGATGGAAAAAAGCAGGTAAAGAAGGAAGGAGGGATGGCACAAAAAGAGGGAGGGAAAGAAGGAAGGAGGGAAAGAAGGGAGGAGGGAGAGAAGGAAGGAGGGAAAGAAAGGGAGAGAAGGAAGGAGGGAAACAAGGAAGGGGGGAAAGAAAGAGGGAAACAAGGAAGGAAAGAGGGAAAGAAGGAAGGAAAGAGGGAAAGAAGGAAAGAAAGGAAAGAGGGAAAGAAGGAAGGAAAGAGGGAAAGAAAGAAGGAAAGAAAGGAAAGAGGGGAAAGAAGGAAGGAGGGAAAGAAGGAAGGGAGGGAAAGAAAGAAGGAAAGGGGGAAAGCAGGAAGAGGGGAAAGAAGGAAGAAGGAAGGAAGGAAGGAAGGAAGGAAGGGGGAAGAAGGAAGGAGGAAAAGGAGGGAAAGAAAAGAGGAAGGAGGGAAAGAAGGAAAAGGGGAAACAAAGAAGGGAAAGAAGAATGGAGGGAAGGAGGGAAAGAGAGAAAGAAAGAAAGAAAGAAAGAAAGAAAGAAAGAAAGAAAGAAAGAAAGAAAGAAAAAAAAAAAAGAAAGAAAGAAAGAAAAAGAAAAAAAAAGAAAGTTGCCTTCAGAACTGCCTTAATTCTTCATGGCATAGATTCAGCAAGGTGTTGGAAACATTCTTCAGATATTTTGGTCTATAATGACATGAGTTACTGGTAGCTTTCTATCATCTCAAACCTGTCTGCCCATTCTCCTCTGACCTCTGACAGCAACAAAGCATTTTCGTCCACACAGCTGCCGCTCAATGGATCTTTTTCGGACCATTCTCTGTAAGCCCTAGAGATGGTTGCATGTGAAAATCACAGTAGATCAGCAGTTTTTGAAATACTCAGACCAACCGGGGGAAAACAATCAACATTACTCTCTGGAGATGGTTCAAATTTCCACTCCAAGATGCCTGAAGCTCAAAAAAGTTTTGGAGCTACTTTTCTAGCTCCATTCAGGTAGATTCATGCATTTTGGAGCATTTTTATTCCCTTAGAAATACATAGAAAAGGCAAAAGAAGGCACCAACATTCATGCCACATTCAAAGTCACTTAAATCCTCTCTTTGCTATTCTGATGCTCGGTTTGAACTTCAGCAAGTCATCTTCACCACGTCTAGATGCCTAAATGCATTGAGTTGCTGCCATGTGATTGGCTGATTAGCAATTTGTGTTACCAAGCAATTGAATAGGTGTACCTAATAAAGTGGACAGTGAGTGGCCAGTGATGCATGGAGAGTGTGAAGGACTGTGTGGGCAAGTTTAAGTGATTGCAGGAAAGAAGAAAAGTTGCACACTAGTGAAGATCTGGAGTAATTCTAAGTAATTTTATACTGGGAAAGTTTCCTTTGAACACAGAACTTTATGTGGAAATGTTTGCATGATTTTTTTTTTCAAATTCACTTGGAACATATTCTTTTGAGTTATTTGGAATTATATGCACTATTATCCTGTTTGTATAAAGTATGTTTATTTTGTGGGAGTAATAGGATCAGTAACTTTTTTTTTTTTATTGAGTTGCAAATTTTGTACTGGTGGTTTAACAGACATGTGAGCAGCTTTCTGATAGAGAGATATAGAGGGGTTAGAGCAGTGCAGGGGATTTTTCAAATATTATTTTACACTTCCCCCGCTTTGTTGTATCAGCCAACCACCGTCCTCCAGAATAAATCCAGACCCAGCCAAGATGGCTGATGGAGAAACTTCTGCATTAATACATTTTCAGTTTAACCCTGTCCACACTGCAGAAGGATAATATAGCAGCAACAAAGAAAGACGTTCCGTAGAGGTTATTAGCTACAGTCCAAATTACACACTCATGAAGTCTTTTTTCCTCTAAAGTTTGCAGGCATGAAACTATCTTTAGTGTCCTTAGACTTTTTCCTGAGTCCTCTTTACTCATATGCTTGCTGCACTTTCAAATGGAACTATATATATGTATACTGATGTAGAATAGATGAAGGATACAGAACCATCATCTTCTGATGACACAAGCTTTAACCACTTGCCCTCCAGAGGATTTACCCCCCTTCCTGAACAGGCCATTTTTTGCGATACTGCGCTGCATTATTTTAGCTGACAATTGAGCGGTCATGCAACACTGCACCTAAATAAAATTTAAGCTCTTTTTTTCCCCACAACTAGAGCTTTCTTTCAGTGGTATTTGATCGCCTGTGCGTTCTTTATTTTTTGTGCTATAAACAAAAAAAGACCTATAATTCTGAGAAAAAAAAATGTATTCTGCTACATGTCTTTGCTAAAAAAAATCCCAATATGTGAAATTTAATTGGCTTATGTGAAAGTTATAGCGTTTACAAATGGCAGTATATATACTGGAATTTCTTTTTTTTTTTACTAGTACTGGTGGCGATCAGCGACTTATAGTGGGACTGTGGTGGGCATTCTGACACTGGGGGGAATTGACTTGGTGTCACTGACATCCCCAGTGACACCAATACAGTGGTCAGTGCTAATAAAAAGCACTGACACTGTACTAATGGCACTGGGCAGGAAAGGGTTAACATCTGGGGTGATCAAAGGGTTAACTGTGTGCTGTGTTTGTTTTAATATGAGGCTGTGTCTGTGCTTTACACTGTAAGCACACTGCTTTGTGTGGCTCTGCTATGTAGAGCCATACAAAGCAGTGTGCTGGAGCTGACGGGGAGAGAACTGTATTGTAAACACCCTGACCACTCTGTAAGGGGCCCAGGAGCTGTCATTTGCTACAATTTAACCTGCACTTTTTTTTTCTGTTCTAAATATCAGTTTTGCTGTAGTGGGTTGAGTATATTGTTCAGTTGCACCACTTTCCAGGTAGGCTCTTGGCTGGTAAATTACTTAAATGAAATTTATTTTTTACTAACATTGCTCCCACCAAATAAAATTGTTAACAATTTGTTTTGCTTTGGTACATATTTCCCAGGGCAGTACCCAGCCCCTCTATCCCATGCCATTTGTTTTTACAATCTCTTGCCTATTAGCCTAGAAAATGACAATTCATTTTTTAAATATTTGACTCCCATTGACTTCAATGGGGTTTAGATCTGACACTCAAACTTGCATCATGTTCTGCGAACCCGCTTTGAACCAGACCCAGATATGCACTACTCACTCATTATTTATGTTTCTTTGTTACTGTACCAAATACCAATGTTAAATATATTCTCAAAATATGTTTTCTTCTACAAGGTCAACGAACACTTTTGTTAAATAAGCACATTGTTGTCTTGTCTATATTTGCTACAGGACATAAGTTTTGAAAAGATTGTATTTTTATGAAGGACACTTTGCCGATTAGCAGTTTTTTTCTCTCTTTTTATCTTAAGAAGCATACAATAATATGAAAGTAGTGGATTCATCTTAAATATATTTATTAAACATGTAATGCTTTGCAAGGCTAAAACATATGTAAAGTAACTATAAAAATAATATCAATAATAGTTTTTATGTTGATTAATATCATTCATTTGAAAGAATCAGAAATCCCCTTACAATATTGTACATACAGTATATATGCACACTTATTTGTACCAGTTTCTTAGACTTGTTTAGATTTTACTCGGATAGAATATTTTGGGCTTGTTCACACCACGTGCAGAGATTTGTGTTTTTGTAAGCCAGGTCTTTAACCGCTTTCCCGCCGCCATATAGCAGAAATACTGCTACAGGTTGGCAGGGGTGCGCAAAATCACATATATATACGTGACTTTGCATTTCCGGGTAGGCCCTACACACGCCGCCATTGGTGGCCTCACCTGTCAATCACCGGGTCCTGGACGGTGGTTCCCTCCTGGAGGGTGATTCCCCAATGGCACCTGGCGATCGTTGTGTATCACGGATAGGGGAGAGAAATGTATGTAAACAATACATATCTCTCCCCTGTCAGCACCTGCACATTGCTTTGTATTGCAGAGCAATCCAAAGCACTGTGCTGGCACAGTAAAGCACACACACAGCAAACTGTAAAACAGCACACACAGTTAACCCTTTGATCGCCCCAGATGGTAACCCCTTCCTACCCAGTGCCATTAGTACAGTGTCACTGTATTGGTGTCACTGGGGATGTCAGTGACAGTTAGTCAGTCCACCCCCCCCCCCCAGTGTCAGAATGCCCACCGCCGCCATTACTGGTATAAAAAAAAATTGCAGTATATATACTGCCATTTGTAGACACTATAACTTTCACGTAAACCATTTACACGTAATTTACGTTAATTTACTTGTATTGGAATTTTTTTTTAGCAAAGTCATGTAGCAGAATACATTTTGGCCTAAATTTATGACAAAATTAGATTTTTTGAAATTTGTTTACTGGACATGTTTAATAGCAAAAAGTCAAAAATATTGGTTTTTTTTTCTCAAAAAATTATCGGTCTTTTTTTTTATAGCGCAAAAAAAAAAAACACAGAGGCATTCAAATACCACTGAAAGAAAGCTCTGTTTGTTGGAAAAAAAAAGAACATAAATTTAATTTGGGTTAAGCAGTGCAGCATTGCATGACCGCGCAATTGCCAGTTAAAGTAACGCAGCGCCGTAAAAAATGGCCTGGTCAGGAAGGGGGAGGTAATTCCTCTGGAGGGCAAGTGGTTAAAGGACACAAGTAAAACAAAGGAGGAATACAGGAAGAGTATAATTTGTCAGCTAAAATGTTCCAGGTGAGTGGGCAACTGGAAATGAAGAAAAGTGATAATTGTCAAAGCAGCTGTCTCCTTTCTTGCTACGTTGCTCGAGGGCTGTGAAGGGAGAGGGGTGCCTTATCCAACCTCACAGCAAGCCTTAGATAGCACAAAGTTTCAAACAAGAAAAAGGTTCATAGGGCACATCTGCATCAAAGACCTTCTCATGTTGAGGAAGACAGGTACTGTGCAATGTAAACTGGAGCAGCACTTCCGAGAGTAGAAGCAGACTCTGAATAGAAGACCAGGAAGGCAAGAAGGTTCTTTAAGTGCAGTATATCCATGAATTAATAATACTATGATACAAGTTATTCCGTATTGATTTATCTGATAAAACCAAAAAAATTTATTGTTAAAAAAAACGAAAAAAGTAAGTAAGAATGTCATATTCAGCTAGTTAAAGTGTTACTAAACCCACAACAGTAAAATCAGCTGTATATGCAGTAAAGCATGTTTGATATGCTCACTGTGGAACCTAAGGGGTTAATCCTCTGCATTGTGTAAAAATGCTGTTTGATCCTGACTTGTCTGATCCTCCCCTTCTTCCAGTGTCCCCCTCTTATCTCCCGATAAGACATATGGTGTGGAGACACTCTGCACATGCTCAGTATGGTGTGTACTGTTGGAGAGGTTTTTATTTTTCTTGGGAGAGTGCATGTGATCAGCACAGGGCCAATCAGCACTGTCCAGATAGAGGTCAAGGATTTTGCATCCTCCTAGAGCAGAATGAAAACTTCTACAAGCTTTAACCAGTGCTGTGCTGAACACTGATAGAAGTCCCAAGACTGTTCTAGCTGCTGATGATAAAAGGTATTTAGCAATTAATTTTTTTACTAAACTTATTGCATTTCCATGTTCTGTGCACTGTGGGAGACTAGATAGAGTGAATGCAGGGTCCTGGGTTTAGTAACACTTTAAGGGTAACAGTTAAAAACACTTACAGAATTTTGTGTAAGAATAGGCTTGTCACAATGCATGTCAATGCAGGGCTCCTGTCACTGTGCTGTTCTGTTTGCTGTGCCGAGGCACACTTAGAAGCACCTTCTTGCCTTCCTCTTCTTAGATAGCACATAGGAAGATGGGACAAAGTACTAAATGTACTTTGTTCCCTGGGGACCATACCACTTTAATAAACATGGAAGTTAGACTTCTTTAAAGTATCAATAGGGTGGCTTAGCAGTGGCATCAAGCTGGAATTTTTCATTGGTAGTAAACTGGAATATAATTTCAGCTCCTGTCTGCCTCTGGAAGAAGCTTCTAGAGATACAGAAGGAAGGTTAGCCACTGGGTTATGAATATTTATCTGACCTTGGACAATCCCTGGGAGGGAGGCCAAGAAGGTGTAGCTGGAGAGAAGATAAACGTTTGGGAGGATCATATATGCTTGGCCGAGGGACTTGGACTTAAAGGGACAACATCACCTGTGGAAGCTGGGCTGGAGAAGGAACCCTTTCACTGAAGAATGTTTCATGATAGCTGGTTGGGGATCTGCCTCTTGACATTGTGAATAGGACCTTTCACCTAGAGCTCCAGGTGTGCAAGTACTTTGAGAGCTAAATGCCAGAAGTTGCTACAAGGACTGTGACTGCTCATAGAGCATCTCAGATTAGCTGGTTGTCCCCTGCTTACTTCCAGCAATACCTGGAAGTAAGCCTCTGTTATTCTGGAGGAGTCTCGTTGAATGAAACAATACAAATGGATTCCACACAAGTGACATATAAACTAAGTGTGGTATAAACTAAGTGTTTATTCCCAGATTTAGGCACCTGTCCACATGCCTTATCTGAGCTGATTTATGATAAAGGACCCTTTCTACTGTGAGAACCTGCTACTGAGTAAAAAGGCTGAACTGAAGTGTAGTTTAGTTAGTTAAAGTGGTTCTAACGTCTAAATGTTTTTACCTTAATGCATTTTCTGCATTTTAAAGCACTTCACCACCATTAGCCCTGCAAACTGTGTTGAGGGAGTTGGCACAAGATGTGGCTGGCTTAAGCAGGAAAAAGGACTCTCCCCAACCCCCAATGGGTGAAAACCCATTGTGCAGTGATTCCGAGGACAACCAGAAGTGCTGGCAGTGCGGCCATTATGGACACATTTCCAAGAACTCTGGACAGTCTGGATTTAAAAGCTCCTGCAGGCCGACTGAAAACTAATGGTTAAATTAAACTAGTGGTTCCCAGGGCAGAGGGACAACCTCCAAGACTGGAAAAGCAAAGTGCCAGCAAGGCAGCTGGTATGGCCCCACCCAGCCTAGTGGTATCCACCCTGGTTCACGGACAAGAAGCCCTATGCTTAATTCACACAGGGTCAGAGGTCACTGTCATGGAGTATGACATTTATGTACAGAGATTTAGGGCACGGGAGCAACTGAACCCCTGCTGGTTGTCCCTCAGAGTGGTCAATAATCTCCAGATCCTGGTTGAAGGTGTCACCTGGGTGAAAATCCAAATTGAGGACCAGGTGGTGGAATGAGTGAAAGTAGCAGTGACCTGTGGCCCAGTGAACTAAGGGGTGCCTGTTGTGTTGGGCATGAACCTTTGAAAGTACTTACCTTGTTGTTGGCCAAACATGAACACTCTGGTTGGCAGGCTCAAGACCCTGTCCTTCGAGCAGTGCGGTTCAGAGTGATCTAGGCCTTTGAGGCCCAATGAAAGACACCAAAGAAACAACCAGAGCAAATAGGGGTTTTCTACATTACTCCCAAACAGATGCCACTACTGGCACCCCTGCAAGAGGTGGTCTGGTCATTCCCCTGTCACAACGGAGACCGCTGCACCAACTACTGAAAAAACACCTCCCAGTATTTGCCACCAGGATTACAGGTTCGCTGAGGCCATTGATCACTCGATCCACACAGGAGATATTCGTCCATCAGGGAGTAGTACCACCACATTCTACCAGCACTGTGCCAGGAGATCAAGGACTTGCTCCATAACATGTTACAAGGTGGAGTGATCTGGGAAAGTTGCAGTCCTTGGGCTGCCCCCATCATCTTGATGCACAAGAAACTCTATGCCTGCACTCACAAGGATGCCTACCTACTGCCTCAGGTGGAAAAGTCGTTAATGTCCATGGGACAAGCTAAGTTTTTTTCTGGGGGCACCCGCTGCTTCATGTATCTGAGACTCCAGTGCCCGTTTACATAGATCCACACAGCTAATTCCCTGAAAAGCACAGCCAACTAGTAAGTACTGATCCTCCCTTTACGTCTCCTTTTGTTTTACAAATCCTGGGTTTCTCCCACTCATTACCTACCTCACTACATATCAAAAAAACAAAACACAAATACAGTGGGGCAAAAAAGTATTTAGTCAGCCACCAATTGTGCAAGTTCTCCCACTTAAAAAGATGAGAGAGGACTGTAATTGGCATCATAGGTAGACCTCATTATGAGAGACAAAATGAGAAAAAAAATCCAGACAATCACATTGGCTGATTTGGAAAGAATTTATTTGCAAATTATGGTGGAAAATAAGTATTTGGTCAATATCAAAAAGTTCAATACTTTGTTATATATCCTTTGTTGGCAATGACAGAGGTCAAACGTTTCCTGTAAGTCTTCACAAGGTTGACACACACTGTTGCTGGTATGTTTGGCCATTCCTCCATGCAGATCTCCTCTAGAGCAGTGATGTTTTGGGGCTGTCGCTGGGCAACACGGACTTTCAACTCCCTCCAAAGGTTTTCTATGGGGTTGAGATCTGGAGACTGGCTAGGCCACTCCAGGACCTTGAAATTCTTCTTACGAAGCCACTCCTTTGTTGCCCAGGCGGTATGTTTGGGATCATTGTCATGTTGGAAGACCCAGCCACATTTCAACTTCAATGCCCTTGCTGATGGAAGGAGGCTTGCACTCAAAATCTCACGATACATGGCCCCATTCATTCTGTCCTGTACATGGATCAGTCGTCCTGGTCCCTTTGCGGAGAAACAGCCCCAAAGCATGATGTTGCCACCCCCAATTCTTCACAGTAGGTATGGTGTTCTTTGGATGCAACTCAGCATTCTCTCTCCTCCAAACACGATGAGTTGTGTTTCTACCAAACAGTTCTATTTTGGTTTCATCTGACCATATGACATTCTCCCAATCCTCTTCTGGATCATCCAAATGCTCTCTAGCAATCTTCAGACGGGCCCGGACATGTATTGGCTTAAGCAGGGGGACACGTCTGGCACTGCAGATCTGAGTCCCTGGCGGCGTAGTGTGTTACTGATGGTAGCCTTTGTTACGTTGGTCCCAGCTGTCTGCAGGTCATTCACTAGGTCCCCCCGTGTGGTCCTTGGATTTTTGCTCACTGTTCTTGTGATTATCTTGACCCCACGGGGTGAGATCTTGCGTGGAGCCCCAGATCGAGGGAGATTATCAGTGGTCTTGTAAGTCTTCCATTTTCTAATTATTGCTCCCACAGTTGATTTGTTCACACCAAGCTGCTTGCCTATTGCAGATTCAGTCTTCCCAGCCTGGTGCAGGTCTACAATTTTGTTTCTGGTGTCCTTCGACAGCTCTTTGGTCTTCACCATA